GCTACTTTKTATGCTATTTTGTACGTTGAGTCAAATAATTAAGTTAGATATCCAGTTCTTTTGTTTATATGCAGGAAGTAGGGAAAACTCTCTTATTTAATGAAGCCAATACGAAGAATCAATAAACGCTACAATTACGTAAGACTATCATTAGATGCGAGCTTATATCCGTAAATGATATAGGAAAATGATATATGTGTGATGTATAATAAACGCTAGGTATACTTTAGAATTCCATTAGATGCCCGCTCCTCCATTTATATCAGAAAGGGATAGCTCTAATGACGCCACTTCTACATAAAGCGTACTTCAAACGCGAATTCCTTCGTCAATATATGTCGAATAGCGGTTAGAGGAATCAACAGTAGCCAATCGATATCCAACCAACCGTAGTCGTTTCATGTCCATCACGTCTTGTTCCTTGTTTGCTTGTGATCCGCATAACAGACAAAATGGAATCGCTCCTGCTATCGTCACCAGGCCACCGAAGATGTAGAACGCAGGGATGTATGACTCGAATTGGTCAGCAATGAATCCTGGGAATGAAATTTGATTTCAGTAGGAACGGGTAGAATACAATAGCTTATATGGACCTCATATATTTTTTTATACAGCAATATGCAGAAATTCTGACCACTTTGACTCATATTCCAACTATATATAAAATATATCAGAAATTATGGGATATCATCGCTGATATTTTTTTCAGATACTACTGATCCTGAGCAAYTTMAAAAAAAATATCAGTGACCATATCCCATAATTTCTGATATATTTTATATATAGTTGAAATATGAGTCAGAGTGGTCAGAATTTCTGCATATTGCTGTAAGAATCAAGTAATGATAGTATACWAACACTAAAACTGTGGTGCAACATAAATACAACTAAATACTGCTAAATTATGCTAATTCTATTGTTTACTATCAGCACGGCTATTTTGTAGTAATTAGCACAAAGTGTTGCATACTTTTAGTGTTTGTACTCTAAGAAAAATTTACGATAAGAATTTGCTGCAAGAAATAAAACTTGGAGGCAACCGGGATTGAATCGGTGACGTTTCGATCTGAAGTCGAATCTCCCATTGAGGTAAACGCACCCTAGACTGATAGACATGTATAGATCATACCTCCCCATTACCTACTCTAGCCCCCCTCCTTGAAACCTGCTAATGAGAGCATGTATTGGTGTTAAAGAGGTCATACGGTATTTAACATACCTCCAACTGGTGCTCCAGTAAATAATGCGATAGAAGACACCGTCAGTCCCGTACTCAAACTCACAGACGCCTTTCTRAGGTCATCAAAACAAGTCAAAAAGAACAGAGCAAGCGTTGTRGTGAAAGCACCACTCCCTATTCCATAGAACACAGCAAATAGGATAAAATGCCAATACGCAGTTGCTTGGGTGAATAGTATCATGGAAATCCCGACAGTAAAGGCTGAGAACTGGACGCCCTGAAGCGGTGTTAACCAKCGTTTATCGATTATCTTGCCAATGACCAGGCGAATGATTGTAGAGCAGATRCCAATGTAGATGAAAAGGAGAGAGGACTTGGAACTAGATATATTGCGATCATTAGCGAACTTTACCTGGTAATTAAAGATATGTTATAAATTAAATCATGGCTCGCTTCTCTAGACCAAATCTCTCTTTGCTGTTGCCGCTGTTGTTGCTCCTTATTGTTACTGCCCCCGCAGTTATNAAAAAAAGAGTCTTTTAGAAAGAGCGTGGTCGGTTAATTCAGAGACTACTGAAATGTGTCTACTTGATAAATCTGTAGAAAAAAACACTACTGCTAAATTCAATGATTATTTCCCGTTGAAAATGCTTTAAATTAGAAGCCGGGCTGTTCGAAATACTTCAAAGAATGGTATGCTATAACTTATCAGCATGCAGACTACACTCCTGATTATTCGTTAAAAATCTGAGCCAGGGATGGATGACTTAGGTCGGAAAACCTTGATGGATTTGAAGGGATCCGCGTCCTGCAGATCACATGCAAATCATACAACATCCGGTATACCAATAAAACTGAATAAATACCAATGAACCTTTCGACATGACCGACAAGACTGTAAATGCTTTATTAAAAATCCTATCCATTACAACTCTGGACACTGAATCGATTTCAAGAAAGCTTGCAAATGTAAAGATCATTGCATTACGTAACATTTGGAACAGCGTAACGTACTCCAGATGTCAAGCAGTACGATGTTGACTGAGTTGTCATGCTATGGGCCATTAATATTCAATTTTAGCGATATAACTGCCGTGATCACGACTTATTTTTGATGTTTATTCATGTTAATTGTAATATAAGTAAAATCGTGTCCTACCTCCCTCTCCAATTCAAAGCGAAAAGCCGCTGTTTTATTTGACAGCAGATTCTCTTGCGCAAAGACCTAACCAAACACAAAAGAGAGCACGAGAAAATGTTGTAAGTACAATAGCGCTAACAGTTTGCATTTTCTCCGAGTTGAGGCTAACCTGTACTCCCAGAAGAACCTATAGGTCTTATAATGGGAATACAGGGATAGTCTCAAATCGGGGAAAATGCAATTTCCAAGGCTATAACGACACTTTCTTGTGTTTGTTTTTTTTTTGTTTCAATTCAGGTCAATCTGTTGTCAAATAAAGCAGCGATTTTTCACATTGAGTTCGAAAATGGAATTATTGATTTCTCTTGATCGTCATCTAAATTTCAACACCATTTTCTACACAAACCTTCCGAATGCTAAGATATGCTTGTCGTCAAGTTCCAAAGTGAGTTGGCCTTTTCAACCATATAAAAGCTCACCTTGAGGTAATTATTGTCTATAAGTTGAATCTGGTCATCGGCATGTCTTGCGTGTGTATATAAGTGTGAATAAGTATAAATCATCTACAATAGTGAGTAGAAATTGACGGATATTACCCTGATTATGACGTTTCAAATACATAGCCTCATAACACACTATTTAAATTCTGCTATGTCACAAATTGAAAGGTCAAATAACAATTCATGTTACTATTATCTTCCTCGCAGGGGCTATTAGCGTGGGTCACGCTGTGCTTTTCCTTTCCGAGTGTTTTTAAATCAAGTGAAAGGGAGAAAACGCAGTGTTGCAATGATTCTGCTAAGCTCCAACCTCGTTTCCATTGTCGATTTTTTTTTAATTTTAGGGAAAGAAGGTTTGCTAAGATAGGCTATAATCTTGACTAGACGCATAGCTGAGTGAACTCGGCGGGGTTCTGCTTGAATATATCATAAAACGATGAAGTGACAACAATGAGTGTTGTAGTCGAAGAATTGAGATTGAACCTTAATAAGGTTAATAGTCATACTATCAAAAGACGTAAAGAAAAAAATACTTCCTGGAATAAAAAATAATAAAAAAACAATGTACTCAGCATAAATATCATGAAAAAATTGATCATCAGCAAGCCGGTCTTTGATAGTCACATGACAGGCTATAAACACAGAGTCTTTTATCTTCTCCGCTCTTCCATTCGTCGGCTTTTCCTCAGAAGAATCTGTTCGCATTCCTTAGACGAGACCTTAGTAGTTTCAGAGCCTGCACAAGTTCGTATACAGTTCGCTTGTGCTAAGATAGATAGCTTGTTTGATAGACAATTCTCG